TACATAGGTTTGAAAATGAATCGAAAGTTCAGTGAATCGTTTGTGAATTGTTTGGTAAGAAGTTTATTTATATTCATTTATTTATTAAGCAAATGAACATGAACAAGTTTTTATGTTCGTTTAATTAAATAAACGAACACGAACAAAAAGCTCGTTCGTTCATTTACGTTCGTGAACGTTCGATAATCTATTTGTTTATGTTCGTTTATTTATGTTAATTCGTTTATGTTCTCGATACCTGTTTGAAATATTAAGACTTGATAAATTTTAACCTTAAACCCATTAATATTTTTTAACTCAATTAATTTTTAACTCAAATAAAAAAATAGTCAAATCAATTAAAGAAAATATAAATACTAAAATTATTTGAAAAGAAAAAACTCTTCTCAAACATAAACCAAGATAATTTTATGTTTGTTTACATTCGTTTATGTTCGTTCGTTTGTGTTCGTTTACGTTCATTCATTTGTAGTTCGTTTACGTTCATTCATTTGTGGTTCGTTTATCATTTAAACGAATAAACATGAACAATAGATTTTGTTTGTTTATTCAGTTAAAATTAAATGAACGGACATAAACATACATCATTTGTGTTCGTTCGGTTAATTTACAAGCCTATATATACATTTGACTATTGAAGAATATAAGATGAATGACCTAATAGCCTACCTGTTTCCTCTACAAACTTAACAGCGGTACATGTTTCCTCTACCAAACTCAACAGTGTTATACCAATTCAACAGTGAATCAAATTTAACCTATTAACAACCTAGTTGCACTCTGTCCAAACAATGGTGAATCTAAAATTATTTTTAAGAGGGTGAGCACACGTATTTTATGTTAGTAAAATACATGATTGATCATTTTCGTTTAAGTTTTGTACACTTTTTCATATTGAATTCAAAAACATAATATTTGATCACTTTCATTTTTATTTCTTAAAGATGTAGCCATGTTTGTTTTTATTTAATTAAGATGTGGTACTTACTTAATTGACTTTAAAATGTTTAGTCATTGAAATTTTGACTATCATTAGTGGGGATAAGAGAGGAAATTAAATAAAAGTGACAAACGTCTTAATTAAATAAAAACAAAAATGATCAAGTATTATTTTTTTAATTTAGTGAGGAAAATTATATAAAACTAAAACAAAAGTGATCAATTTTATAGTTTACACTATAAAATTTTAGGTGGATACAATCAATAAAATAAATAACTAACCGAAAAAATTAGGTGGTCACGTGCCGACCCTAAATTAAGGGCGAATCCACCACTATCTGCAAGCCAACATATGCTAGTTTTACTGCCTTTTAATTGATCTTTGTTTTAATATGATACAAAGTTAGAAAATTTATTTGGAGGGTAAAATTTAGAAATTGTATTAAAATTATTTTTTTAAGTGGGTGAAAATGAATAATAAATATATGTCAATTTATTTTAAAGATTGTTTATATTCTTTTAAAAATATGTTAACTTTATTTTTTAAAAATTATATTAAATTTATAAAGAATATTATTTTCAAAAAATTTTAACACCCCTCGTTATATGTTGGCTCCATCTATGTTTTTTAAATTAATTTGGGTGATTATAAGGTAGTATATGTTTGAAAGATTCTCAACCATTTGACAATAAACGACAAACACCCCTACAGATATTATGCTTGAACTCGAGACATCTAAAAATAGCAGTTATCCCTTAACAATTAAGATTGTTTGATTCGTTATCCACTTGTATTTTGATATAATAAAATCTTAAAAAATATTTTGACATAAAGTGTTTATTTAAATTATTTTGCTTGAAGAGAAAAAACTCTAGAAACAAACATATTTTACGGATTATTGTTTGCTCATTAGGGATTATGATGAAAATAATAAAGACAATATACAACTTCTATGTTCTAAATAATAAATGTAATTTTATGAATGCATCCATGACTGTCGTGCTTCGTGTAAGGATTAATCCTGATATATTTTGTTAAAATCTTCAACACTCACATATTATATTAAACTATGTTTTTTTTAAATTAAAATACTTTTTCTGTTTTATAGCTATAAAAATTTATTTCTGTCAGGATTTATAGTTATTTCTATTAACAATTCGTTTCCAAGATTTAAATTTCTATTATATTATTTATATTTCCTACATGGTTTCAAAGATTTTTCTAGCTTACTGCAAATAGTAAGAACTTAGAGCCCAGGGCAGAAACTATGCTGACTACTCGAGCCCAGGGAAAAAGCTAACCCCGGGGCAGAAGCTAGACCGTCAGCAGCCATGACTGTGCTCATAGAGGCAGCGGCCACAATGACAGCGCATGAGATCTTCTTCATATCCATAGTACTGAAGAATAAAGCTTACTTAAAGACCTGCTATGGCGAAAAACCGAAATCTATGGATTTTGTTTATTTTTATTTGGCTCTCTTCCCCCCCCCCCCCGCAGGTCTCAAGAACAATGATTGGGGTATGTAGCACTTTAAAGGTAAACATTGATGTCTATTTTAAGCAAGAAACAGTTTTTTGTGAACTTGAAATATGGTTTATGTTTGGTTTTGCATGTTTTGAGGACTAAGATTGAATTTTAGATAGTGAAATTTCATATTTTCTGTTAAAATTGGCATGAAACCAGCCAGACATATTTTCTGTTAAAATTGGCATGGATCCAGAATTTTTTTTTAGGATGTGCAGACATATAGTAACAAACATTACATTTCTAAATAGGATGAGTATATGTAAAATTTCAAGGTCGGCATCATCTGTAAAATAAGTAACTAATTGAAGAAAACTTATATTTCAGGGTGGGCACAAAAAATTTCAAGGTAGACACTATCAGTAAAATAAATAACTAGTCGAAGAAAATTCGGATTCTCACTCATACGTGGCTCCGCTACTGATACCATTTAATTAAATAGTAACAACTCAATTGAAAATTTTTCAAAATAGAAAAAATAGTTACAACATAAAAACTTTCATTGATATAAAGATTTGTATTATTAACTTTGTTAATAATTTTCTTAATCTATTAATAATACACACCCTATAAATATAGTTTTTCGAATCTAAATCCTAAAAGAAGAATTGCTTTTTCTTTATAGGCCACTCAATGAATAAAATATTGCGTAAACTATACCAATGACCACCCAACTATAGCCACTTTTAATTTTGACCATCTTTTTTGTATTCTTGTCAATTATGCCACCCAACTATTTAAATGCATTCAATCAAACAACTAGCCGTTAACAGAAGTGATGATGTGGCAGTTAGTAAAATTGGTAAAATTATACATTTAGTCACTGTTACTTATATATTCTATCAATTTGGTTCTAATTTTAATAAATTTAATATTTGAATCAAATCGTGATATGTGTCACCATCTGGTGGAAAGAAAATTAAAGAAGTTGAAATATGAGAGCAAAAGAATTGAACTTGGGTCTTTTAGGTGGGAAAACAATAGTTTAACCACTTAACCAAGCAAACCCATTGAATTAAAACACACTACAAATGCTATATATACTAAATACTAGTTTAATCTTAAATTTTTATTATTTTATATATCTTAAATTAAATTCACATATTAATTAAATTAACATATAAACATTAAAAATATATATTTTATTATTATCTTAACTTTAAAAAATATTTTTATTTTAACTTAAAAATATAGATTTTATATATCTTATAAAATAGATTAAATAATTTAAAATAAAAATATTCTATCAAAAATATATTTTATTTTTATTTTAGCTTAAAATATATTTTAATTTTATCATAACTTAAAAATATATTTTATTTTTATTTTAACTTATTACATATATTATATTCTTAAATTAAATTATTAAATATATTCTAGTCTTACATTAAATTATTAAATATAAATTATCTTTATTTTAATATAAAATATATATTTTATTCTTATTTTTAACTTAATATATATATTTTATTTAAAAATATTTATGTTAATTTTGTTTTAATTTTAAAATATATTTTATTTTTATCTTAATTTTAAAATATTATTATAATAAAATATAAATATTTAAGTTAAGGTAAGAATAAATTATTTTTTTAAAGTTCATAAAAATTAAAATATATTTTTATGTTAAAAGACCTAAGTTTGACTCCGTTGTTCCCCTATTTCAACTTCTTTAATTTTCTTTCCACATGCGAAATAAAATTATTAAATTAAAATAAAGTAAATCCTCCAATCGAATGGTGACACATGACATGATTTGATTTGAAGATTAAATTTATTTAATTTGTTAAAATTAGGACCAATTTGATAGAATATATAAGTAACAATGACTAAATGTGTAATTTTACCAATTTTACTCATCACTTCTATGGCTTGATTGAATGCATTTAAATAGTATTGACAAGAATTAAAAAATAGTGGTCAAAATGAAAATAGGCTATAGTTGGGTGGTCATGGTATAATTTACCCTAAAGTATTAGAATATAAATTGTGAATAAATGCCATATTTATTTAGACAAATAGTTCGAAAGTTGGGTTGTTCATTTCCGGTTAGAGTTATAGGTGTTCATTGCACATTTGGGGCATCGGTTATGAAGTTGGGGTCATTGGTTACTTTAAGTACGCTGAAAACTAGAGTTAGGGATTAATATTTTTTTTAATAAGGAGAGAGAGGCATTACATTTACATAAATATATTTGAAATAATATAAAACAAGACAATAAAAATATATTTAACAATTCGATCAATTAATGGATTTCAAAGTTAAGGATCAAAGTTAAGTATTGGACACTAAATGTGTAATTATATAAAATGTTTTAACTGTCACGTCATTATGCCTGTTAAATATTAATGGCTAGTGGTTTGATTGAATATAATTAAATAGTTAAGTGGTCTAATTGATAAAATTGATTGATGATAAAAATAAAAGAACTAAATAGTTAAATAGTTAAATAGTAAATGGTTACTCTTACATTAATTATATTTATTACATTCAATGGATTGAACCCAAGTAATATTTTACATAATTAATCGACATGGTTTCAAAGATATTTAAGGCTTAATGCAAATAGTAAGAAAAGAAAGAAACAAGGGAGGCTCCAACCAAGGATCCAAAAACAGGCAATGTTGCGATTGCAGCACTGCTAGCTGGACTCGGTGCAGGACCCGAGCCCAGGGCAGAATCTAACCCCGGGGAGGAAGCTGGGCCTTCAGCGGCCATGACTGCGCTCATAGAGGCGGCGGTGACAATGACAGCGCATGAAATCTTCTTCATGTTCATTATATTGAAGAGCAAGCTTATTGGGAGACCTGCTGCAATGAAAACCAAATATATGTATTTGGTTTGTGTTTTTGTCTCTCTCTTTTTTCTTGCAGGTCTGAAGAACAATGATAGAGATGTGGGACATTTTAAAGGTACAATCCATGTCTATTTTAAGCTAAAGATAGTTTTTTGTGAGCTTGAAATATGGTTTATGTTTGGTTTTGCACGTTTTAAGGACTACAATTGACTGTGCATAAATTTTGGATAGTTAAATTCTGTATTTTCATCAAAACCTTAGCGACCACATGTTTTGCATCTGCGAGGCGTTTTTATTTTGTTGTTTGTTGCATTGTCGTATGGGTTCACATTCTCTCGTTCTTTTGGCTGAAGTATAAACAAATTGTAGAATTGTAATGAAGAAGAGAATATTTTCTTTATTTCACAAAGGATGAGTGAGTTACACGTTGGAAGCAATACTTGTATACACAAGATATTAGGGTAAACTGACTCAACAGAAATCTGTTTTAGGAAACCTTAGACTAGTACAATTGCACAACTGACACACGACTGGACTGAGCTGAGCTGGCAAGTAGTCTAATATTCTAGACTACATTCAACACGCTCCCTGCTTCTTTCACTTTCAATTTCTTCCACAAAAACCACCCCAAGTTTTTGAGGAAACATACGAAAGTAGTCCCTGGTCAAACATTTGGTCAATCCATTTGCTATATAGTGTGCAAATGGAACATAGTTCACCTTCAGATTGTTTGCATCTACCTTTTCTCTAACAAAGTGGACATCCAACTCCACGTGTTTGGTCTTTGAACGATACACTGGGTTAGCACCCATTGCAATTAATGGTACTGGAGTTGTCACTCCAGATAGTTGGAGTGTCTTGTAGCTCAATCTTCATGTCACTTAGTAGGGCTTTCACCCACGTTACATCTGCAGCCACATCAGCTAAGATCATGTAATCAACTTCTGTGGTGGATCTCAACATAGTTTTTCGTTTTTTTAGAGTTTCACATTATCAAAGTACCTCAGGTACAACTACCAGAAATGAACCTTTTGTCATCCATGTTTCATCCCCAGTCTACATCAGTAAATGCCACGAGTCGAAGAGGATTTGAGGTTCATGTGAGCAACAAACCGTAATCAAGAGTGTCATTCAAATATCGTAGCACACGCTTTACAGTTGCCAAGTTTTGTTCACAAGAAGCGTGTATAAACTGAGCTAGTTTATTAACACTGTATGCTATATCCGATCTTGTATGGCACGCATATTTCATTGAACCAGGCTTCGATATTCGTTTGGGTCAGCCAGTGCACTGCCAGCATCCTTAGTAAACTTGAGAGAGGATAGCATGGGCGTTGGTGTAGGTGCAGCATTGCACATACATGCCTTGTTCAACAGCTCCAACACATACACTTCTGGTTAATAAAGATTGACCTTCCTACAATTTTTACTTCAATTCCCAGAAAAAAGTTGATCAGTCCGAAGTCTTCAAGTGAAAATATCTTACCAAGCATATTAACTACACTCTCTACCTTATCACTCGGATTCCCAATCATAATTATATCGTCTACATAGACTAACACGTAAGTAGCACTTATCTTTTCATGCTTGACAAACAAGGAACAATGAACCTGTGAGCTTGCAAAACCAATCTTTATCAAATACTCATGTAGTTTTGCATACCAATTGTGTGGGGCCTATCCCAACCCATATAGAGCCTTGTTCAGCTTGCAGACCAGCATCGTGCCATCAGCTCTTTGTTTTTCAAACCCTTGAGGTTGTTGCATATAAAAATCTTCATTCAAATCACTATTCAGGAATGCGTTCTTCATATCAACCTGTCTCAAACTCTATTTTTATATGCTGCCATTGCAAGGATCACATTGATGGTGGAAGACTTGATAATCAGGCTGAACGTGTATCGAAAATCTTGTCCGAGTATTTAAGAAAACCATTTTGCAACTAATCGAGCTTTGTATCTTTACAACGAGCCATCAACATTCTTCTTGACTCTAAACAGCTACTTGCAGCCTACTATAGCTTGTTCTTCAGGAGGAGGAACTAGCGTCCAGGTATTGTTCCTTTCCAATGCTTCATACTCATTATTGACTGTTGCCTTCCAATTATCAGACTGCAATGCTTCATGTATCGAATCAGGTTTTGCTTCCTCACCTTCATGCATTGTGGAATACACTTTTGGCTTGAAAATTCCTCTTTTGCTACGAGTAACCATAAGATGCTTAGTGGCTGCATCAGTAAACACAAGAGACAAATCAGGTCCAGCTTGTCCTGAAGCAGCAACATCCACTTGTTCATCAGAGGCACTACTTGAATCACAGAGTTAATAGACTGACTATCATCAACAGGTTGACCATCACATTATTGCTCAGCTGATTGCTCACTAAATGGACTACCTTCATCAGTCTCTTGTTAAGAATTTAAACCATAACCTGGTCTTCCCTCATCAGCATCTTGACCTTGACTCGAGGAACCAGCATTAGCACACACTCTTCGAGCTCCATCAATAATTGGTAAGCTAGTGTTATAAGCTGTCATACTACAAATGGAAAGCACTGCTCATTAAAACCTACATGCCTGAAGATGTATACTTTACCATCTAGAGCCAGACATTGGTAGTCCTTGCGATGTGCACTATACCCAAGAAACGTGCATGACTGAGACCTAGAACACAACTTGTTGTTCTGATAAGTTCATAGATCATAGATGTGGAAAACATCTACACCTAAAAATTATCATAGACTCATAACCTGGCAATTTATTGTATAAAGCTTTAAGAGGTGACATCATTTGCAAAACCTGGGTAGGCAATCGATTGATCAGAAACATTACTGAGCACACTACATATGACCACAGGCTAAATGGAAGAGTTACTTGAGCCATCATAAGAAGGGTTAACTGTAACACCCATAACTCATATATGTCTTGAAATATGAGTTAAAGATATCACATTAATATTATGAAACTTTCCTTGTACATAAAGCATTAAAATTTTGTTTCATTTAAAATTCATTCATTTAACAATTTAAACTATTTAATTAATCGCGTAAAAACATAAAATAATATTTTTATCCACCATTTGAATATGATTTTAGGCAGCAACTAGGTAGTTCAATGTTGTTTCTAAACATATATGAAACTGCCAAAATACTGCCTAATTTAAAATCATTCAATTTCCCTTAAAATTATATTTACTACCGACCATTTTAAGTTAATTGAACAGATTTGTTCAAACATTTATAACATACATACCACTAATGAGTAAAAGATGTCTTATTGATATTGTAGGTTGGCTTGATTTCCCAAGAGAATATGCTTTTAGTGATCCTTACTTCACTTTTGTATCTTTAAGCAAACCTACGCTTGAAAAACTTCACACACTAAGTAAAACTTAGTGAGGCAGTAACATAGATAAGAGGAGATAAAACATAAATATCATAAAGTATTATAACATAAAAACTGTAATTTAAACAAAAATATTGAAATTTTAAAACAGGGTTGTTCAAGCCGTTTTTCCTCTTTAAAAACCTGAAAATCATCATCTCATGGTTTAGACACCCATTTTTGTCCAAGTCTTTTTTTCATTTCATTTCATTTTATTATTATTATTATTATTGTTACTATTATTATTTACATTTTGAAGGTTGTAATATGGAGCCCAATACCATTACAAGACCAATCTGAAGCCCAAAGACCATTACCATACTAACCCAACCCAGAAGCCCAACAAAAACTAACCCAAATTACAACAACAGCCCAATGGATACAGGCCCGGATGACTCGATTCAAGCCCAGACCCGGGACCTGATCTGACCCGACCCGGTTTACTAAAACCCTAAACACATTAAGGTTTCTGATAGCGTCGCTCAACTACAACCCTTGGATATGGACCCATCTAACGGTCCAGATCACTTAGGAAATCTAGGGTTTTAACCCTAATACATCTGATGTCGCCACTGTGATTGTTGTTGCTACCACCGACCGCCTCTGACGCCACCGTTTCACCTACAATGACAGAAGATCGATTTCAATAGTGAAGAAATGACAACAAATCAAAAAATGAAATAAGATATCCCGAGGATATCTACAAGATCACAGACCAGAATAGGGCACTCATACACCTATATTTCGGGAACTCAAATCATCAAATCAACCAATATACAGAGGGAAAGGGCTTCTTTAAAAGAGGGGGAGAGAAAACCTAGAAAAAAAGAGAGAGAAAAGGGAAAAACAGAGAATAAAAAAACCCAGAGAGAAGATAAATGGAATAAATAAGATAGAAGAAGAGAGAATCGTTACCTTGTAGATCTGACTATAGAGATCTCGTCGGAGCCTAAAGGACCCTTCATCGAAAGTAAAGGCCTTTCTCTTTTTAGGACTTGTTAGAGTTTGGGGTTAGTTAGTTCCTTGGGGTTTATGTGAGTAAAAGGAGTCTAAGGGGCGAAAGGGTGGTTTCTGGGTATGTGTTTCTCCCCGTGGCCACCGATCTATGGTGGCCGGGGAGTTGAGGCTTTTCTTTTAGGCTGAGAAAGAAAGTACAGAGGCAGAAAAGGAAGGGAAATGGGCTGAAGAGAGAGAGAGAGAGAGAGGTTTAAGAGCCTTTTGGCTCTCTATTTTTTAGAGAGAGGGAGAGAAATGAAGAAATGAGAAATATACCCAGCTTAGGCCAGTGGTTTGATCACATATACCAAGCCTCAAACGATAGCATTTGAAGGGGGACCCGGGGTGTAATTTTAGTTTGTGGTTTAATTATGTTCAGGGCGCCTCTGTGTTTTGTAAAGTTAGTTTAAGGGCATTTATTGTATTTTATTTATTTTTTATTTCATGCCCTGAATTTGTAAAGTTTGTATCTTGGTCACTTGTCTGTTTGTTATCAATATTTTGTAAATTTAGGCATTGTACTTTGCATTTATAAAACTTTTATTTTGATCACTGATTATGTATTTTGGGTTAAATATTGAATATGGCATGTATGTTTTTATTTCCTTATTTTTAGTCCTTTATTTGATGTACGAAAAAAGGGAATTTACACTTTTAGTAGATAAGTTTTTTCTGGTGTACTTTTTA